TCAATATTTCCAAAGCGCCGCGGAAATTGTCGCAAACTATTTGCTTGCCTGCCAAAATTCCATTTTTCGATACAATATTTACATTGTAGATAAAAATATACTTAAGAGCTATTCACATTGAGTAGGAACATTTATTTTTTTTAAGTCAATATGTTTTATTTACACATTAATATAGCAAAAACATCGAGTATATATAATTTTTGTGTGTGGAAGGAATTGCGCTTGCTTTGGGATATTTTTATGTATTGCTAAATGGCGAAATACATTTTTACTGTTGAACCGACACGTAAAAAAAGAAGCTAACCCTAAACACACACCATTCACCACTAAACAAAGTCCCATGCGGTTTTGGATAGACCACTAATAATAAAATAAAAAATACGGTAAACTTAATTATTATAAATTAATTTTTTTTTGGAGAATGGTTCAGCTGTTTCAAAATAGATAATTAAAATAAATTCGAAATCGTAAACTAGGCCTGTTCAAAAAAGAGAAACAGACACAGCATCAAATCTGTTCAGCCAAGCTGTTTATTACCGTTGCAAAAATTCATTCGCTAAAATGTATTTCCACCGTAATAACTAAATTATGAAAGGCACCGTGTACAGAAAATGAAAATTTCTGCATTAATTGAATTCCATCCCAAAGCATATCTGTTATAAAAATTTACATATTTAAGTATATTACGGTTTTTTTAAAATGATGTATAATTGTATTAAAAATAATAAATGTTTAACATCATATAAAAAAGATGTACTGAGGTACGGCTGTATTATTCTGATTGTATTTGAGCAACCAAGAATTGTGTTATGTCGCATTGCACGAGTTTCTATGGACAATAAGTTGTACATTATAAAAAAATATAAAATATACGTATTTATCAGGCAGGATTTCGATGTTAAACATTTAATTCAATTATTTTATAAATTACATAATTTCTATTTCTAAAATTCGCACGAAAATTAAATTCTCTTTAGGAATGAATCAACCCGCTCATTATTTGCCGCTAATAAGAATTTAATTTTAATATAGTTTTCCAATTTGGACAATGCCTACACATTTAGGTAAATATTTTTCAAAATTGAGGTACATCGATTTGGCACAGGACATAATAATGAATATTTATAATAAATAGCTATGAATAATAATTATATCTGCATTCGATGTATATTAAAATGTCTATTTTCAACGACCCCCAATTTTCTTAAAACACGGCCATATTGTTACGGCAAATTTCATTGACTAGAGGAACTTTGTCAATGCCACTTTGTATTGCTTAAGTTTGGTAACTCACTAACTAGTGTTATATTTTAAAAGAAACTAAAAAGTTACATATGGTATATCACAAAAACCTAAAGTTTATTCACAGCCAAATAAACATTAAATCGATGCGTCTTAGGCTGGTAGTTGTTATTAGGACGGTACAGAGATTATTATTTGAACCATGTTGTTCTTGCGATTTGAAGAAGTTGTTTTTAGTCCTTTTATTTTTACGCATTGCGTTAAGTACTGTGAAAAACGCGATAAATTAACCTAAATTCAAATTTACGCTACAATTATCAAATAAAAAATACAATCATTTCACCCTATCGATAAACAAAACAAAATACTTAAAAGCGAAGTTCTGTATATGCCGTTGCATAATTAAAGTTATGAAATATGAAATATCTAGTTACGTAAGATTTTGTTTGTAAAAGAATTTTAAATATACTAACCAAGACAAGTGTTTTTTCAATTTTAGGAAATTATTTCCCTAATAGGTAACTTTCGGTACCACCCAGAGTATAAAGTCATAGAATGTCGTATTTATAGTCGTTCTTTAATCCAAGGAATCCTCGAGCCTCCCATCCATTTGTCTATTTTACAACTGACCCAGGTAGTTTTTCTTCCAGAAAGGTTAAAATTATGTTTGGTAATGTTGGAAAGTTCCGTTGAAAGCTGCGGGGGGAAAAGGAAATACAATTTTTACGACAAATATTAAAGAACTACATGTTTGATATTTTCTATTTAAAACAACCTCGACAAATCACACGACAAACCTCTGTTCTGGACTTTGGCGGGAATTATCGGTAACGGAAACGGAAACGAATTGCGTGGGATTTGTACAGGGACCACGTTATGTGAGTTAGCGGGGCGCATTAATGTGCGTAGTTAAGTGTTTGGAGAGGTAGTCTGCGCGTGCGAAACATTTGCCGCACATATCGCAGTGGTAGGGTCGTTCTCCCGTGTGGATGCGCAAGTGACGCGTGAGATCGCTCTTGCCGCCAAACGCGCGGCCGCAGAAAAGGCATACGAACGGCCTCTCACCTGTGTGTTTCCGCACGTGTAGTTTTAGATTTTCCTTTGAACGTACGCACCTGTAAAATAAATGGCGCTTGATGCGGTGGAAGTGAGGATTGCGTTTAAACATGCTATAATCATAAGGGTTACCCAGCGTCATTCATAAATCGCATGTTTTCGGAGATGGTTTGGTAACACCGTGCTGCGTTGAACTGTAATAGTTCGGGCAATGCACCCAATATCATCGATTTTGTGAGGCGAATTTTATTTAGAGGAAGATGGTAAGTAATGAGGATCCCTTTCTTTATCATGCATGCATAATACTAATGTTATGTGCAATTAGAGATTGTTTTATATTATTCGTTAAATTGTCTACACGTTTGGCATTTTTGATAGCAAATCTTTTGCTAAAGAATATTTTGTGAAATTTTTTCATTGTTTATTCTTCTTTGAACTAAGCGGTTGTAACATATTTACTACTAACAATTCGACAATAATTTTATAAGGGTGTTAATGAATAAATATGTTTTAACATGTGTTCTATATGGTTGTTGTGCAAAAAGAAAATCTTTTTTGGATTTTGTGAATTTAATTTATAAATAAATAATAACTAATAGAGTTTTTGTAAAGTATTATTGTTAAATATGATTATATTAGTAAATGTATTTCCATATAATGATGAAACTTGTTAATTTGACTTCATCATTTGTATGTGCGTATTATTTGGAAATAAAAAATAAATGGATATTTTGGTATTTTATCAAAAAAATTAAAAAAAAATTTTTTTGCCGGTTTCAAGGAAAAAATGGCTAAATAGATTTTTTTTTTGATAACTACGTCTTCAGTCTTTTTAAAATCAAACCATTAAAAAGATACTGCTATTTTCTGACCCATACGTCAGAATATTTTGAATTTGCAGATTAATTTAAATTGAAAATTTTATTTTTCACGAATATTTAAAGAAAATGTTGTTTGACAACGGTAGACATAAACAATATAACAAACAATTAAACAAAGAGAATACACCACTTGCATTTATATAAATGAGCAAGAGAAAGACGAGAATTCCAATTATTGGCAGTGTTTTATTATTGTAAAATTTGCCTCAATTTTCTTTCGCGCCGTTTTCTTTCCAGTTAAAGTCACACAATTAAGGTAAATGAACAATAAATGGGACTAAAATTCCAATCAACAAAATACTTATCTTAATATTACTTAAACTTAATATTTTGTAGTTGCTGAACAGGTTTTGGTGACTTAAATACTTGTATTTGTTTTAATGGTAAATGAAAAATGGCAAGGAAAAGGACAATTGATTTGAATCCCTCAATATTTCTAATGACTGAAATTTTCGTGAAGGTTCGGATGCCGAGATTAAGTTGATTGAGGCTACACTGTTTCGTATTTGGACTCTATGTCGCCGACGCTTCGTACAGTGCTGTCAAACTGACCGATGTATCTCTGATATCCTTTTCGCATGGCTGATATTATCCGTCCTGTTTTTCCAGGCTAAAATAATACCAGCGATCATTCAGATTTAAGCAGTTCACAGTATCGAACCAAGAGATTTTATTTGAAAGTATTTGTATCCAACCCATTCTTCTATCAAAGGAAAATAAAAGAGCCATTGAAAATATAAAATACCCAATGGGTGAGAAATAAAACGCGGCGCCTACACAGGTGCTTTAGGTGTATATAGAGAATTCGCCTCTGAGGTTTAGAGAGGGCCTAAAGCGTGTGATAGCATCAATGCGCCTTCAAGTTCTATATACAGCCTACGGAAGTTTCCTCGAAAATTCTTATGGATATTACTTACTTTCCGCAAAATGGGCAGGCGAAACGACGTTCTCTTTGCCGATCGGAGGTGTCGGCGTTATCAGTGCGCATCAGAGTTGACAGCATACCAGCATCGCCGGTCGTTCGGCGTAAAAGATTTCCTGTGGCAGCTGGCAGACCAACTCTAGAATCGATCGTATCATCTTGTTCAGCTTCGGTCCGTTCCGCATCCGAAGACGTACCACCTTCACACCCTAAAACCCACGTTGTAACCATTGTAGCAGCGATTTTAACTAATCGTTTCACCTTGCGGTTCTTCAATATCATCGACTTCCTTCTTGACAATCTTAGGCGTACCTTCATCAGCGACCAACGTTTCGTTGCTGCTGGACACTTGATCGTTGCCCTGATCCGGCGACTGTTGAATCGTATCGGTCTTCCGAGATATCCCCTCTCCACTTTTCCCGTGCAGTCGTTCAAGCGCATGATTTAATCGATGTTTTTTAAACGATTTGAGGTAGCGAAATTGCATACCGCAGACATCACAAGAAAACAGTTTGTCGGCTGGTAAACGAGCTCTGTGATTTTGCTCTCTGTGTTTCACGTACGCGGACCGATAGCGGTAACTTTGACCGCACTGATCGCATACGAAAGGCTTGTCAGGAGAAAGTCCAGGTCCGCTGGGCGCTCCCGGCATGTGCTGAAGTGCGGCGTGCTGCTCCAAGAGCCAAAGGGATGGAAAACCGGCCAAACACGCCGCGCAACGAAAGGCATCTTCGGTAAGCAGCGACGGCGGTACTAGGCCAGCTTCCAGTAACCCTTGCAGAGGAAAAGGCAGGAATGCGCCAGCTGGTGTCGAGGCACGAGATGATGCCGTCGAAGAAGGTCTCTCGATTACAGATGGCGAAGATTCGCTTCGTTCCACGTCTAGTATGGGCTGAGGAGTGAATTTTATTTATAAAGCCAATGAGCTTATTGTCTAAAGGAGACCAAAACAGAGTAAAAATTGTTGATATATTTAAAACTTAGGAGTCCAATATATAGCAGTCAGTAATAACATCTTTAGGCAGGTATTAAATTATTTATTTTGACAGGTGAACTCGGTGAACTGGAATGGAAACGCCGTGATAGAAAATGAAAGGAAAGTAAGGAAAATTTTACAATAGAGAAAGACGAGTAGTAATAGGCTTTTTGTCTTTCTCTCGCTCATTTATATAAATCAGAAAATGGGGTGTTATCGTGACTTTTTAATTAACCGTTATCATTCTTATTGAAATCATTAACATTTTATTTGATGACCAAATAAATTTCCTAAATATTTGTATAAAACAAAATTTATAATAATCTAAATCTTAAAAAAATGGAAAAAAGCACATACCAATTGAGATACTTGATAAATTATAACAATAAAAAATTTATAAGAATTTACCGGTGAAGATATCAGTAACGTATACGGCAAAGAAAACATTCCCCGTTACGACTGTAAATGAATGAATTTTGCCTCACAAAATCCTTGCTGGCTGCATACTGATTTTAATGTTGGCGTATTGATATGGTTTGGTAAGTTTACTTAAGTGAGTTTTTTATGTTTTAAATTAATTAAATCGACAATTTCGCAAAACACAACAATGTATTAAGCAACACATTGACCGGAATCACAGTAATCCGATCCAAATTGCAAAACTCATTTTCTACTCTATTTCAATTTCTACTTTTTTTCTGACCTATTCCCCCCACCCCCTTTTACTTTTTTTCGTTTTTCGTGTGACTCCGGTTACTTATATACAATTTAGCATTTAATATTCCAAATTGTACCTTTTAGCAAGGATAGATATACATCATATGAACGTTTTTTTTATTTAATGAAAAAAACTTCCTTGACCTCCCTTCCCGACTATTAAACACTTTATCAAAACAGCGCGTGATTTTAGTAGTATTAAAGCGAATATTTTTTCCATAACTTGTAAAAATTTCTTTTTTCTCTCACAATAATGAATGTTTTTGACCAAACTCTTACTATTAACTCGCAGCTAGTAACAAATAATCGCCTATATAAAGTGTACACTTACGAGGGTAGCACGAATCCAGATCCGTGTGAAACAATGACTTAATGGACTTGCTGGTGTGTGTTAACCAGTTAGTCCAGAATAATCACGAAATTGTGTCGCACTTATTATTATTAAATGTTCTTTTTCAATGTAAAAAATAAATACGAACGACTCCGTTTATCGCCATTAGTATATGCATGGCATAAACCAATTTCACTAACACAAGAACCAAGGTCTAAAAAAAAATAAGGGCGGTGTTAAAAACGTAAACACAAGGTGAAGTATTTACAGATCTTTTATTTGTCAAAAAAGGATTTTTACAACTATGATATGCATTTTATGACAATATAAGCATTGCAGGCAATATTGCAAAACATATTTAAGAAAAGAAAAGAACAGGCGGATATGAAATTAACAAAAAAACAGTATCGCTGGAACGAGTTTGAATAATTAAAGAAACGTTATGATTTTGATATCTATATTACTTTCAGCGCATTAAGTCATGGAATACAGCATGCTTCATAGAAAAGCATGTGAAAATAAATTCCAAGTTGAAAATTAAGCATAGCTGCGTTACGTGACGCATAATCTATTAGAGGGGAAAATATAAAAAAGCATTACTCGCTTCTAATCGCGTGACTTTTAAATGATGTTTTCCAATACTTGATTTTTAATGGTTAGCAAAATTATTTTTACTGAGATGTGCAGGTTATCTTGTCGAATATTAATGCTTTTGCGATATAGAATAGGTTAGGATGGAACAACGGAATCTTCGAACAATGCTCGACACCGATTATGATTTCCAAAGGTAAAATGCCACTGCAGTGTTGATAATTAATTAATCACCATTATAACATATTTTCGTAGGGTAATGGCCCATTTAAGATAAACTCAGGAACTTACAAAAGCTATTGCTTTTTTTGGTTAATCGACCGATCGGAGTTATATTATGAAATTTATATTTGTTACTTGTTGGGTGTGCGGGTAGTGAGTTTGCAGAAATCCTAGAAAATGGAAAGGCGTAACAAAAATATTTTTTAATACACGGAAAAACATATATGTATTAATAATCTTTTTGAAAATGGAAAGAAACTCTTGAAAGTTGGTTAATGATTTGATAATCCGAATATCCCGATCAGTCGACTATTAACACATAAAAACAAATAACACATAATAAGAAAACTAATCCTAAATTCGGCTGCAGAACAAGCCCTCCACAGAATTTATTAAAGCAATATCTAAGCATTGTATTTGAGTAAAAGTAATATATGTTAATTAAGTACTAGTTTAAGTGAAACTGTTAACTGTTAATATGATACAATAAAAAAATCTGTTTTAACTACTATGAAATAATATTTAAGATTAGCTAACGTTTCCATAGTAACAATATTAACACAGGTATTCTATTTGTAGGAACATTTAAATGAATAAAAACACTGCAGTCCTATAATGTATTTTTCTGAAAGTTATTCGTATATTTTCAGTTCAACTCGACATATTACAGCGCGCCCATTACCATGTTCTACTACTTTTACGAAAATAGTGACGCATTGTCTGAGAAAATAATGGTATAAATTTATCACTTTTTTTCGTATCGCAAAACTTCAATTTGTTGTGTTTCCGTGTATTTTAATTTTAATTTTAACAATTTTTTTCTGATAAATAATTTTTTGTCGATGTAGAAGAAAGCATACGGATTAGTACCGTATAGTTACATTTTTTGCAAACAACATTATATTACTTTAAAATGTTTTTATTGCCGAATGGACTGTATAATCCAGACTAAGAAAAAATGTTATCACATTAATTTCTCAGAGAGTGTACGTTTTCTTGTAACTTTGCAGAGGTTTGAACATGGACGTGAAAATTCAAATTTCTAACGTTTTTATAGAACTTAACTATAAAAACTGTTGGTGTAATTTTTTGGATATTTTTGCAAATTCTGCGTTTGTTTTATTTTCCACTTATCAATTTATGTTATTTAGTTGCCTTCACACTTTTTGATACGGCCGCAGGCTCCGTTTGGGTGGTATAGAAATCCGCGCAACTCCGGATGATAGTAGTTCTGCTGATGAGTAAAACTTAACCTCACTAACAGTTTGGTAGTTGGCACTCGGCAAAATTATACATAAAAAATCTGTAAATTATTCCAGTGCTATATGGCTTAATATGCTCTGTAAAAACTTTAACAGTTCGGTGAAAAACAAGCGAAATGTTTGTTCTGGAATCTATATTATAAGGCTTTACAATTCATATGCCCTTTAAGGAAACAATAACTGGTTAAGAAAAGATTCTCTAGAAATCGTTACAACGGGGCGACTCTCTAATTATTTATATTATTGGTGGTAGCTAGCGGCATATGAATAGGGTATTAAGATTCTGACAAACATTTCCTTGTTTCTTTGATAACTAGGTATTTATTTATCTATTTATTGTATTCGGAAGTGAGTGACCCTGAGCTACCACTGAATTAGACTTATACTGTAATTCTTTCAATAATAACTGTTGTCTAAAATTGTTTAAAGCAATTTTTTCATTATGAATATACTAACTTCTGCCCAAACACGAAATTGTTACAACATTATATCATTTATTTACGAAACGCCGCTTTAGGAAGTCAAAAATATTGCAGGAAATTTATTCCAGGTTGGGAAAAAACTGGGGAGAAATTTTTCCACTTGGGTTAAGCTTTTTTAAAAAGCCTTTTTTTATGTTGAACACCTGTAATATGAACGTTCGTATGAACTTTTTGCAATGAATATGCAAACCAAAAGTTACTAAGTAGCTTACTTACTGCACTTAACTAGAGAGAAATTTGTCCTTTTGATACTTAAGATACTTTCATATCTCTTTCCCATTCCCTCCACTCTTTCTATTACTTGTTGTTAATGGGTGTCGATGAGACTTTGTGATATGCCGAAAAGGTTAGAGTTTTGAAAATTATGAGGATCACCTGAGTCCAGTCCTTGACAATCCTAACCTTTGTAAAAAGAAAATCACTATTAAATCACGATTAACAGTTTATTTCGTCCAGACTTGATATCTATTTTCTTTTTAATATATTTATAGCATTTGTAGGTACCGAAATGGGGTTAGTAATGAGTGTGTAAGTACTGACTAAAGGACGTATGTTATTAATTATACATGAAGAAACGCTTTTAGTATCGAGGTAATAAAATTGGTTTCTGACTATCGCAACTAGGAACATTAATACTCTAACAGAACTCGTTGCGCAAATGTGGGATAGTTGTTTAATAATTAATATGATAGCATAAAACAAAAAGTAGTAGGGAGCGATTGGCCACAACATTTCCTCTATTTTGACTTCCGACCGCGGATACGTTTTAAACGATTTTTTAAACAAAAGTACATGGAAATTAAAAACGTAACTATAAAATCACAAGCCGCATAAAGTAACACAAATTCGTCCCATCACAGGATATATCACAGATTATATCTGCAATTTTTTTCAACGATTATGTTCTAAACATACGAATTATATCAATGCACTAAAATTAAAAATAGCCGATTTTTAGGGAACCGGCAAATTCTTCCACGTGGCAATGCAACCCCTGTCACATTAACTGGTTACTCGAATATTGAAAAGCAAACGAAAGGAAGTTCTTCGCGTTCCGGCAGACTCCTTTATCTAGTAGAGGCACTCAAAATTTTTTTCCAGGCAACGACACGAAGTTACTTAGTTGTTTGTCTTTAGCTTATAAAATATGATGGTAGTAAAAACCGCTATAAAACATTCTTTTGCATTCATCTATATATGTTTGTTTCTATATTATAAAACTGAGTGTTAGTTGCTATTGGGATCCGTCTACAGTCCGAGTTATATCGAGCACTGGCCTCGCGCCTCATCAAACCCGAAATATGGGTATTTCGTTAATAAATATTTCTATTATTTACTACACGTACTATTTACAACAATATAATATATATTTCTCTATTAAAAATATTATAAATATATTCTCTTAAGTAGGAAACAAAAATAGTACTTCAAACTTATGACTAAGGCGTTTCTAGGTGCTGATATTAACAGTTTTTGTGATAGATTTATAAAGACTTGATAACCTAAAAAATTTAACTCGCTTCTTGGCAGTTACTAAAAATGGTAAAAGGTAAAACTTCAAAGGATATACTTAACCGAAAAATATAACTGTTGCGTGCCCAAGTCTTGGCTTATAAGTTTAAATCTATCACACTCGTACGCTACACTCGGTATTTGTTTGTATAACGTCGCTCTATATAGTGCGAGTACGACACGCTATTACTTTACTATGTATTTGTATAATGATTATTGCTATATATTCCCCAATATGCGGTAATCAACGTTCCTACACATGCCCAAAGATGCAGAATCCGTCTGACCAATCGGATTTTATTAAAAAAACCGCAGCAACTTGAGAACTAGATTTAGAATGCTGCGACTGGAAACAAAAAGGTAAAAATAGCGATTCATCTGTTCATGTAAAGCTCACTTTATGAATAGTTTGATGTTACTTTAGAAAAATCATGAATAATTAGCTAAAAATTGTTTTTTGAATCTAGCCTGGCAATGAACTCTCAAAACCGCCCAAAATTTTAAGCACACTGCTAGATACCGAAAATAAAATTAAAAGAATACGAACTGGTTTTTCTTAAAACGCAAGGTTTGCATAATTTAATCGCTCAATATTTTTTTGTTAAAATTAAATTAGTAGAGAGACCCATTAATTTAACGAGATAACTCGTTAGTTAGTTTTAACCAATTAAAATTTTCATTGACCCGGTGTGGGGTTCCTTTGGCTGTAGATAACACCCGTATAGTGATGTAGACGGAATTATATTCGTTTCTTCCCAATTTGTAACTGAACGTAAATGTCCGGGTCGAACATTTTGAAGCTATAATGTAAAAGTAATTCTAGCTTGCCGTCCGAATATAAAGTTATTGAAGCATGGTATTTTACGCTAGAATTGTAAAAAAGTCGCAGTTTCTTTATCGCATTTGATTGATAATATTTTGACCCAATTATTGCATGCACTCCCAAGCAAGGTATTTTCAATAAAATCATGAAAGTGGAGGCTGCAGTAGAGGCGTATCCACAAAATTACAGAATCGCGGAGTTCATGGTTTGAAATTTTGTAAAAGGTGATCGCACACCTCTACTGCAACGTATTCAATGTGTTTATCGTTCCCTGTACATCTAATACTGCGAAGGTATGAACGGAGACCAGTGGAATGCTCGCAAGCGGATAAAGTAAAGGACAAACAAGTCGAAATTGATGAAAGTAATCATCAAATCCACTTCTCTAAACCTATTTAGCAATCTCGTGGCTTTTGCAGTAACTAAATAACCACTAATCCTAATAACAACGCGTGAAGTGTGGTCAGGTCATTCATATTTCACTATCGTAAACTAAGTTATAAGTCTATCACAGCTCTTCAACATCTCGCAACTAAACTTAAAAAACATAAAACTGTTCCGTATCCACCTGACCATCGTTAATTGATTGCTTCGACGCAATGTTCGGATCTTTTTGTCGAGAACGCGACGAACGAAATTAACATGAAAATTTAACCGATAAAATGGTAAGTAAACGATATGTTTTTACGTGCGATGTCAGAAACTGCCGTTCGGCAAAAAGATCCTACTTTCAATCGCACATTGAATTTCAAAAAGTCTCTGAGCTTTCTAGAAATGTTCTAAGAGCGTGCAATATGTGGCGTCATATCATGATTTTGGTGTACCGTACAATTATTGAATGCGCTATCGACAAAACCTTGCTTCCAACTGAAAAGAAATTTCGCCGTAAAGACGCCGCCTCTACTTGTACAGAACGAAAAACATAGTGTTGCACCAGTTTTATCCGTTTGGAAATTCACCACAATCTGGCAACGCCGTTGCGAACACTTGACACACCACAGCCCTGCAAGGCTAATGAGGACTCTCTTCCTCGGTATCGAGAGGACTGGGCGAGAGAAATTTGCGCACGTATTTCGGATAATGCGTCTTCTCGTGCGCCTTGAGTATGGTTGATCGCGAAAACGTCTTCCCGCAGAGTGCGCACCTGAATGGCCGTTCACCCGTATGTACCCGGCAATGGTCTTTCATGTGGTGACGCAATTTAAACGCTTTTCCACAAAACTCACACTTAAAAGGTCGGTCGCCTGTGTGTGCGGGCAGGTGCGAGATCAGCGACGCCACGTCCGGAAACGATTTACCACAAAACTTGCAAAGTACTACTCCGCCCGCACCTCCCGACGCTGTCGCATCGTCCAAATCCATCGGAGCCACCATACCGGTGGGTGGTTGATCCGTGGGATCGGGTGGTTCGGGCCCACGAAATTCCATAAAACTCATCGACTCCGTAGGCAACGTGGCCATGTGGGGCGGAGGTTGCGTGGACGCAGTCACCGGTTGCCTCTGCTGTTCCCGATATTTCAACGTCTCTAAACTGTGGCTCAGGATATGACGAGTCAGTTTGCTCTGGTGTGGGAACGAATTTCCGCAATACATGCACGGATAGAGGCGGGGCGGTGAGGTGCTTCCTTGATCCCCACCGTCTAGTCGCTCCTGCAACCAAACAACTGACATCAACTTCTTGCCGCGTGTGTCTCGGGCGTGGGTCGCGGCGACCTCCGGAGCTCCGAACAAGAAGTTGACGCTTGTTGTTTGACCGGGAGCGACTAGAGGCCGCCCCGAGCGACCGTCGCCTGAGCACACACACGGCAATAAAGGCGGATAAGAAGGTCGCCAGGGCCCTCGACCGCACCACAACACTTTCAATGGAAAAACGTCACTTCCAACGCGACGAATCGTTTGTCCGCAATATAGTTACTCATTTATTCAAGCTTTACGTTTTCGCGTTTTTCGCTTTTGGGTACTTTTTAAGCAAAAGAGGCAAAAACCCAAAAAAAAAAGATAAAGTAATTAGCGATGTCTTAATGTAGAAATAATTCAATTGTTAACTTGGTCTCATGTGGTATGTGTATTTCTAATTAATATGCATTATGTAGACGTTAGACCAATTATTTCAAATAAATTATGAGGTTTATTGCTCGTTGATTTTGAGCAGTTTGCTTGTATATTCCAATTATAAAGGCTAAGATGAACGGTCCTTGCAGACCTTAATCGGACAGCAAGGCTATGAATGGATTTTTGCTTGAAAACCATCTACAACCTCCTGCAAAAACACACACTTAATACAATACGAGAGCTGAAACCTGCGGAACACGACGAAAAAGGCTGAAGTATAGTAATATCAGAATCCAAGGCTATATAAATAAGATTTTGGAAGGATTTTTACAGAAAAACAATCTACAACCTTCTGCAAAACACACACTCAATTCAGTGGGTAAACTGCAATCTGTGATAAAGAATAAATTTACAATCACAATTAATATCTACAATTTCGGGATTCCGATTCAAATTAAAATGCTGTATAAGATCTTAAAAGGATTTTTATTTAAAATTCATATACAACCTTCTGCAAAACACACATTCCATTGAATGTGTAAACTGGAACCTGTGCTAGACGATGAATTTATAACCACAACTAATATCTACACTTTCGGGCTCCCGATTCTAATTAAACAAGCTGAAGAGAGCTTTCTTCACAGAAGTGTGATAGACTCCAAGTCTTGAAAGGATTGTCTTAAGGAATTATCTACAACAATCTGCAAAACACACAGTCAATTCAACGCCTAAATTGAAATCTGTGGTAAAGGATGAATTCACAAGAACAATTAATATCTACAATTTTGGGCTTCAGAGTCTAATTAAAAACGCTGAAGTGAACAAATATGATCGACCACAATCAGATTCCGAGACTATATAAATAAGATCTTGAAAGGATTTTTATACAAAAATCATCTACAACCTTCTGCAAAACACACACTTAATTCAACGGGTAAACTGGAACCTGTGGCAAAGGATGAATTTACAAGCACCACTAATATCTACAATTTTGGCTTCCGATTCTAATTAAAAAGGCTGAAGTGAATTTTTCAAAGAAACTTCTACATACTATTTACAAATCCTCTGGATTTTTCCTGCATTGGTGGTTGATGAATTGATCTTGCTGACGTTTCGCCAAATATCAGGTTGGCTTTTTCAGAGCTTAACTGAAACTGTTAAGTTCGGAAGAAACCAACAGTATGATTGGCGAATCGTCACCCAATTCAATTCATCAACAACCATCGCAGGAATGAATGAATGAAATGAACTTTTATTGCATATATATAATAGACCCCGATCTCTCAGATTCCAATTCTGTAGTATGGTACAGCATTCTACGTTCTGTTATGAAATATTCTGGAGTTAGACAAACTAACATTTGGACCGTCAATTATTGAAACGTCAGTATTATTAACTTATTGCGACGAGCTAATGACAATTTCTAATTAATTCCGCAAAATTGTACAATATTTCAATGAGAACGCTGCTGGGATGGCATCGTATATTTAAAACCAACTTTTTAATATTAAGCGGATTGACTTAATAAAAGAAAAAACTTACCGAATCGTGTGGAAGTCTAGAGTAGTCCGATGAACTCTCTCCTGAATTTTTATCATCCATCCCTCCTCCCCAATCGACTTCTTTTTTGAGACTCTGAATGAAAAATCAGTTGGAAAATTGGACAAGCTACGATTTTGACGCTCTTACCAAGGGCACTTGTTGAACTGGAGGCATGTTTGAAGGCCCCGGGAGGGGCTCACAGTTGGGAGGCGACGAGGACCTGCAAATCACCGGCTGCTGGTGCGTTATTGGAAGAGGAGGGCCGAAATTGTTGCCAGGAGGTTCCGGCGAACCGTTTTCCGAAGGTGCTCGTTTCAGGGCAGCAGGTTCAGTCATGATGCGATCGGGCGATTTGCACGGCGGAGTGGGAACGATGGGAGAATCTCGAGTTTGTGTGGGTTCGCTTGCATCTGGCGACGGTGGTGCAGGCCTCCTACTCACTAATTCTTCGGGTTCCGTTTGCTCAGGTGGTTCGGGTTTGTATTCGCGCGTCATTTCAGCTAAGCCTTTTAATCATCAAAATGAAAAGTACGTTAACATTATTGAATAATATATTCTGCGTGTTTTTTTTATGATTCATTATGCTTCAGATTTTGAACTGCACTTGTAGATTCTGAGCTTCGAACGATGGGCAATTAATATTTTTTGCCTAACGTGGGTACATTTTAGTTGTGCTAAGGGCATCGTTATGTTTTTAATAATAACGGAATTTCCCATAAGGACAGAAAGTTTAATGCAACGTATGTAATAAGCAAATTTAAACCGTGGAAGTTTCATATGTGTTTGTGAAAATCAGTTCCATGCAAATAGCACCAGAAGACAGTGTTGAATCTCACCTTTAACCTTCAGACTTTCAGCCGTTTTGAGGAGCTGGCTCAGCTGTGCGTATTCGACGCTCACTTCGCCCTTGTACATGAACTCGACGAGGGTCCGTAGTTCCGCGAAACGCACGTCCTTGAGGATGACGATAGGGTGGCGAGCGGGGTAGTCGTCAAAGAGGGCGCGAAAATAAGCAGAACAAGCGCTGAGCACGACTTTGTGCGCACGTATGCAGCGACCTTCGTCGGCACAAGCCAGCGTCACGTCGACCAGCCGTTCGTCGCGCAGCAGTTGCGCGCACACGCGCAGCAGGTTGGCCTGGTGGTTGTTCCAGCGCAGGCAATATTGCTCACTCCCCATCGCCAGCTACGCCCGTGGCCGAACTAAAGCAACAAATTCAATTATCAACCACAAACATTTCCAATATAAACGTTTATAAAATAAAAAATGTTTCGATAAATACAAATAAACGGGCGTCGTGGAGTTTTATTTTTTTTTTAATTTGAATACCTTTACACCTGATTAAAAGTTGTCTTTTTCGACATAGAAGGAGAAAAATTAAATTACATAAATTGTGTGTCAGAATTTCACGCTTATTGTAACAAATGCGTGATACATGCAGGATGTTTCAAGAAGAAAAATTGCACAATCTATGATTTCAGCATTTTGGCGTAATTGTCTTCGCATAATACGTGGTTTATTTATACTTTTGTTTTTGAATCGACGTAAATCGTTCGGCCTGAAACTCGGCAATGAAATGAAACGTTTCTATTGAAAAAAAAAAAACATTAAGTTAGGAATCATCTATATTATTACTCTTTTAAAGAGAAAGTTTTGTTTTTATTCAGTTATATAGTTGTAAAATGTTGGTTTCAATTTATAATTTATAAAAAATAACATTTAGCAACTTTATTAAAACTACTCCAGTTAAATTGAGATGAATTGACTTCAAGACGTTAATGCTATTGTTGCTTTTCTTGTTTGTTGGCGCTGAAAAGTTATAAACGTACGGTTATATAAAGGGGAAAATTGGACAGTTAAAGATAAAAGGTTTCAAATAAGCTTGTCATATGCTTTGGCAAAAAATATATTTTAGAAATTGAGATTTGGCAATAATGAAGGCAAAAACTTGAAGCTAACCTGAGGAAATCAATGAAAACAGCAACCAAATGTTCTTTTCTCGTTTTAATTATAACCAATAAAATAATATTATATTATAAGATACTATAAATTTAAAAGATATAGGTTTACGATACAAAACTCATCATTTTTCTCGATTAGCTGAATTTTTATAAGGTTCAATTTTTGAGACCTTTATTTATTTAAACGATTTAGTCTCTCATCAACCTCCGTTTTAGTTTGAATAAATTATTTTGACAAAAGCGTATAGCCTTTGGAGCTTCATATGTCATGTGTCATTGCGCCACTAAATAATGAGAAACATAATAAATAAAAACAATATTAAAGATTTTTTGTTGTTTAATTAGCACCTCGGAAATTGTGTCACAGATCTGATTTTATAAACACCGGTGAATGCTTTTAACTGGATAAATTTACAGCCAAATTTCCACTTTCAACAGTTACCCAAGTCCCGAAAATAAAAATTATTTTTTCACCGCTGTTGTTTTGTAGAATTTTGACCTGCTTTTCGGCATTTACTTTTTTCCCAAACAAAACACATGAACTTGGAAAATGTTATATTAAACACTTAATATCTTTTGAACTAGTGAGAAACTCAAGTGAACTGACGAATATACTTAACATAATCTATTTCTAACATGAACTGCATTGCCTGCTGTAGATTTTAATGTCTAAATTTCGGGTCAAATTTTTATATTGTTATATAACAAATATTACAAAGTAGTAAAAAAATAATTTGACATTTGTACTGTGTTATTTTCCTGCTAATAACACTGGAACGCAATTCTTGCTGCTTATGTGGTTACTATTAGAGAATAACTAAAAAATATTATCTTATGATATAGCCGACAAGACAAGAAAAAGTAAGACTTCTTTACTTTACGAGTTTATTTGACACGATCGGAGCGAGTGTTTAATAAACGAGTGAGTTAAAAAGTTTACCGAACGTGTTGCATACTATACTTTTTCTACGCCCGTTAGTTTTTGGGTACATTTTCATACATTCACTGACATGACTGTCAGAATTGACAAACGTCAAAATTCAAAGCGTGGGAAATATCTCCGAAAAGATCCGATTGCTCCCAAACCCGTGCGGTAAAATCCCGGAACTGTCCGAAGTGGTTCGGATTCGTGGGAAACGAAACTGACGTGGTAAAGTGACGCTTCCCGCACGCTAGATCGGTGCGTAATTAAGTGTTTTACAGACGGGAGTAGAAAAAAAAATTCATTTTCGTTATGCCAAACATTCCGCTACATACCTACTTTACTGCGACAAAAGTTCAAGTGTGTGGTAATTACGTCAGTGTTTTAAATAACTATTTCTGATCGCTCCCAATTAGTTTAATAAAGCTGACGATTTAATTTGACACCTTGCGCACGCCTGATCAGTGCATGATGTGCAATTAGGTACTTTCGAGAAAGGAGTCGAACACACGTTTTACATTCCCAGTTGGCTATTTTTGAGGAATCTTTAAAGCCAGGAAATATCTGTACGTTCCTGTAATATATACCATAAGAAAAGATAAACATGTACAAAATTCATTTTATTCTTTGAACCATTGGGATATTAGTAGAAATTGTATTAAGATGGTAAAAACGTATTTTCTACTATGATGGGTTATTTTGACAACGTCCACATTTCAGGTGGAGCTGCAGCATTTACTGCGTAACCAAAAATATTAAATATCACTAAGCAGCATTTACGCACAACGTTAGATTTATATCCTGGGTCAAACCAAACAACGAAAAAGGAAACAGAAGAATCGTCCAAGTTGGCCAATAATTTATGTTTCATACAATATTTTTTAACATTCTCGTTATCATTGCAAAGTTTCCTTAGTTTTTGCAATAAAACTACTATAAATTTAAACAGCTTAAATAAAACACAGGAGCCCTCTGTCTTTAAGTTCATCAACTTTACCACGCTCCACAAGCTGAGTTTAGCAGACTGTAACGCATTCACGGTGACGGTTTCGTTACAGGATAAAAGAGGTCGCTGAGTGAATGAGGCGACTCGAGATTTTTTACTTATTTCGTGTCGTTGGTTAGTTTCAAAATTATTGTATTGTAGCTGCAATGCACCAATTTTGAATTTCATATTTATATCAATTTAGAAATAAATTATGAATTTTTCACTGCTTCTTAACGACGAACATTTCTTCTTATTTCGGTTTGTGGTATGTTAGCAGTCGGCGCTGTCGGCTTAAGTGACATAGATCTAAGCCAAATGGGAGTGGAAGAAAACATTGAATGCAGAATGCCAAGAGAAGAAGAAACAGCTACACACGTACTGTGCAAATGTGAAGGCCTGACGACAATACATTTGCATCCGCTGGGCGGAACCAAACCAGAAATAATGAGCTACACCAAAGAGCTACTGTCAAAGTTATGGAGTTTGGTCACACAGTTGAACCTGAATCAAGTTTGGGTTGCTCTACCAGAGATGCCTCCCAAATCTTGGATCTTGCTGTAGAGCGGATAATTGCATCTATACACCGTTTTATGTCTACACCCTGTAAACAGGTCATCAGACTGGACAATTTTCATGAAAGGGGAGAAAACTGAAAATTACTTAAGAATTATTTTGTCTTAACCACCATACATAAAAATTAAAATCCTCTTTCTACTCCCTTCCCAATTAAGAACCGATGAAGCGTGCTGAAAGTGTAATTTTAAGACGCTCGTTTTGTGACCCACGGCGATGTAGGGGGGGGGGGGTAGATTTTAGCTATCAATGGTTTTTTGACATTTGTCAATTTTGACACGTCACTTAGTGAATGTGTTCATGCTCTTTTGCAAAAAAAGACTTAATAATTAAATAAATACTTATTATACTTATTAATTTATTACACAAGCCATTAAATAAATATGTATATGTTGAATGTCCATTTCAGTAATAAAAGCTACAAAAAAACGTTTACTGTATCAGTTTATTTCGATCATGCTAATTTCGCTGTATAACGAAAGCAGATACAAATTGAGAAACTTGGAGGATTCTTTCACCGTCCTAGAGGTGCTCATCTTAAAAAGTGAACTGAAAATATCGTCTAAGTTTACGCAGAATTAATCACCAGCTGCTGCATTTTTCCACGAATAATAACGTCTTCAGCTTAACTACTACAAAAGCTGGCAACAAAATAAAAAAAAGCAAAAGCTTTATAATACTTTTAGTGAATAGAAAATGTAGAAAGCACACAACTACACAGGATGACAGATATATTCATCTCAGAGTTTTGTTTTAAAACTTGGCTATAATTAAATAGGTGATGAAAATTTTTATTGATCATAAAAACGCATCTACAATATGACTCAATAGGTATGCCATTTTGTCTGCAACCTTCAAAATAAAATACCACAAAATAGGGGTTTCTACAAATGATTGGTAAAATAATATATTACTAAAAATAATAAAATAATAGCAAAAAGCAAAACCTTAGCAAGAAAATAAATGATAACGACTGCGATATTAATCACGTATTTGAACAAAAAATTGGGTTAGCTGAAAATTTCCTTCTTTCTCTTAGTTTTTTTTGTCTCAATATATAGGAAAGAACAACTAAAAAACTATTTAACTGGGAATTTGAATTGTTTTTTTTCTCCCGTAGTTTTTTAAAATGCAACAAATTAAATAAAAATTAAAATAAAAATGAGGAATAATCCAAAAAATTACGGGTTGCCTATATAAATTCCTCGACTTTCAGATAATTTAAGCATGTTTTTGAACATTTATAATTCAAACTCTAAATTACCGGGTTTTTAATGGTATTGGGAAATTGAATATTTAATCTGTTGTGGCGAATATGATAAAATAATAGAGCTGCACTTAACAAAAAACTGAACGGCAAATGAAATAAAGGAGTTGCATACCTTTAACGAGCTACAACTTCGACAGTTCTTTGCCGATATTAGATTTTATAAGCCATGTGGTGACGGATTATTTCAAAAACCTCTTCTCGTTATACAGGATGTGAAATTTGAAATTTCGTATTCATTCTAAATTTATTGAAAATAAATTCATTACAGTTATAAGTTCCTTTTAAGCATTAATTCCTAAAAAAAATAATTCTTCTTCGTTGTCCTAATTTGATAAACTCCTTTCTGCGCACTGCTGGTGTTGACCGTTTTCTTTACAAGTTATGCCTGGCCGCAGTTCCGACGGTATCCATGTTGTTTAGTATTTTTTTAAAGAAACTCTGTAAACTGAACATCATAAATCATACGTCCATTATTACATCATAAAGAA